GCCTCACACCGATGACCTAGTTGATTTCATAATTTACCCAGAATTCTTTGTATGTAAATAAAATGGCTCCATCTGTGTTAAAATATGTTTTTAAAAATGTACAAAACTAAACAGCCTACAGTATTTTTATAGTCTTTATTTTACAGTTCAAATAAATGTTTATCAAATAAAGTTTAATGTTACAACTAATCGTGGATCCCTTTTAAAAAACAGATTTTCTTCATTTTAATAAGAAGCAGAGTTTGCTCTTTCCAGGATCTGAACCTCAAATGATGTTAATTCAGAATAATATTCTGACTAAATGATTTTTTTGTTACAGAGTAGAAAACATCCTGTGGGTCACCTGGTTCCTATATGAACAATGTTGCAAATGTTTTGTGCACAACTGGAACAAAATGTCTGAAAATGTTCAGACGCGTATCTGAATGTGTCTTTGTGTCTTCAGTCCATCATTAGTCCGTTTTTATTATAAAATCTGAGTTAGTTTGTGTTTTTAGTCCTGTCACAGTGCTCAGTAACACTGACTGTTTTTAGTTAAAAAAAAGTTTAGTGTTGAAGGGACAAAAGCAGCTCTGCAGTCAGCTCTGTTTTACAACACACTCACTGCAAAAACTGAGCAGAGAGCTGCTGGTGCTCCTGCAGAGGGGAGACTCCTGGTCCTGCTCTTCCTCCAGTTATTAATATATGTCCTGCTGGTTTCAGTCATTACCATTTAATCATGAAATCTAACTCTTAGCAGGACTTCATGCTTGAAATAAACAGCTTTTATGCAGAACATGTAACACACGTGAATGTGTTTCAGAGTCCAGTTCAAACTGCTCTGAATGAAACCTGAGAGGAAACAGTTCACCTGTTCACAGCGAGTGGAAGCTCAGAACAACCTGCTGGTACCTACTCTGTCTGTAGGGGTTGAAGGGAGGCGAAAACATGTGAGGATTTTCATCAAAGTCGTCGTCGAAGGAATGGTGTTCTACTCTGATGTCAGCTCTGTAGTTCCTGTCAGACACAGAGAAACCTTTTATAAAACTATGATCAAAAACAAAACATTTTTTAGGACAAACTGCAGCACATTCATTTTCTGTACTTATTAGCCTGAGGTTTACATCTGTGACTGTGACCACTCTAAAAACCCTGCAGGTATTTTTTTTTTTTTTTTTGTGGCAGTTTTGACCCAAATATCCAAATAAATAACAGTTCTCCTGTCCAGCTTTTCAAATATAATTCTTTAAAAGCAAGAGGTGATTGGTCAGTTTGCTGTTTCTTTATTCCAGTTCCAGCCTTAAAATGTGCCCTTTCTCTAAAAAACATTAGAAAATCAAACAATTGAACACATTTAAGGCAAGTTGCTAAAAGAAAAAACAACAGAAACTGCAGTTCTATAAACAAATTACAATTTTTGTTGAAAGATGTGAATGCAGCTCCACTAATCAGGCACATAAAAGAGTAACATCTCTTAGTAAAACAGCTAGCTTCTCAAATGTTCAAAGTGACCTGTAAGACCCCCAAGTTCTCCCAGCACTGTAAACTCTCAGAACAAGAACCAGCATCCAAGTCAGTCTGCACCTGGGCCTGACCCGAGACTATTTGTGGCTCTAGGCAAGATTTCAGGTGGTGTCTCTTGTGCAGTTTTCTAAATCTTACTGCCAACTTACAGACATCCACATAAATTAAACCATTTTGTCTTGTCATTGATGTTATTTGTCTTTAGAAACCTTGTTGTCCAATTCAAACAGTTAACAATATAGTTCAACAGAACACCATCTACACGCCAACATCTGCTGACATCACGAGGAATGCCTGTTGACTGAAGCAGTTCTAGGGGGGTTCAGGGGTAAACTGCCCTGAAACAATCTACACAGAACTTTGCATTTTTCATCCATTTGAAGAAACTTTTAGTAAAACCACAAAATCAAAGTTATGACATTTCTTCAACAAAAAAATGAATGGAACATAAATTGGAACCCAGAGGCATTGAATATACTTCCTCAAACTGTACAGATACTCTCTGATCTGATGAAGAGGATTAAAACCATCTACAGGCTGCAACTTTAACACCAGCACAAGTCCTGACATGAAAGATGATGGAAGGCTGCAGATCCAAACAGAACCAGAACAGCACAGTCACCTGAAACAACAGTTCAAAGAGCTGTTCTGATGATTGTTTTTGACCATCAGTTGTTTGAAAATACCTGAGATCCAACCAGATATCAGGGAGGAGATCCTGAATCCAGCAGAACCCCTAAAAACCCAAACAACTGGAGTTTACTGAAGAAGTTTTGCCTTTCATCCAAGGAGCTCTCTGAAACCTGGGAGGAGTCTGAAGCTTTAACCTGTGACCTGACATCACGTGCAGATCAAGTTCCATGTTGGCTCATGCTCACGTTGGTCACATGTGTGAAGTCGAATCAATAAATTAAGAAGTTTAAAGTTTATGATCTCTTGAAGAAATGCAGATGTTCTACTGTCTTCATGTCAGAGTTTTGAGTTGACTCACCACAGCCCACAGACTAACTCAGCTTCAGCAGCTAATTTCCGCAGTAATTCAGCTCTCTGCATTTTTCTTTTATCATTTTGTTTAAAACTTTTGTTCAGCATCTTGGCAGCAGATTTAAAATAAAACATTAAAATTATTTTCCAAAACATGAATCTCCACCATGAGTTGCGTTTTTTCATTTATACTAGCATTACACCATAGCCTGGTAAAAAAAAAAAAAAACAGTCCTTTGTTCTTCTCTTTGCTTCTTACGAGGGTCTGGACACTCGGCTGTAAGAAGCGATTCTTGCTGGAGGCGTGGCCTCTGTTGAAGTTTAAAATGACTGGATCTGTTGGCCGCAACGTGTGTACGCCAGCTCCACTGTGAAGGAGGCTAAGCTAAGAAGCTAACCYGAAARRGCYTGRGCTGTAAACAACCCTACTGAGAGGAGAAAAGTACCGAGCTGAACGGGACGACTTTAAATGAGAGCTGCTGCTTTGRCATACAAATTTAATTTAATTTGGAAGCCTTATCAACACGGTCTGGCTTCATTCACTTCCTCCACTGCCATTGCTAAACTACAAGCAGACTGCGCAGAAAATTGATGTTGTTGTTCAAAATTCCTCCTTCTGTTTGCTGATTGGCCCAGGTAAAATGTTACCAAAGAAATCCTTGTCTATAGGAGAAATCCCAGACGGAGCAGTGAAGGGAAACCAACTCCAAAACTGTGGAAATCAATGCAATTTTGGCAAAACAGATTAAATCAAAAGCCTCAGCTCTGTCTGGTAGTCAGGGAGTGAGAGACATTGTTGATTACTGTGTTACCATGGTGACCATAATGAGCATACAGCAGCTGCTTTAAAATTTCTTTTGATCTTGATTCTCTCAACACTTCTTCACTTCATCATTTAGTTTGAGCTTATATTATTATAGAGATGCATTTTCAACATCTCAACAGAAATACTGACAAATATTAAAGCATCTGTTGAAGTTGTTTAAACCATATAAAAACATCAATCTTCAGTATTTGTTTACACAACCAACAGCAAAGACTTGAAAGGAATAAAGAAAAGTTCTTACCGGTCCATGGGCTTCAAGTCTTCAGATAGATCACATTCAAAGTGGGGTGTTTGGATGCAGTCAAGACTTTCCATCCAGTCTACAGTCTCACTGAAACACGTGAAAAACAAGCTCGTTTAAAGCGATCATTTCCTCACTTTTTTTTTACTTATTTTTTATTTTTGCAGTTCTACTGTGCTCTGGGTTTAGAGGCATGGTGTGAATCAAGTTTTGGTTCAGGTTAGGATTAGGAATAGACTAGTAGTGGTTAGGGTTTGTGAAAATGACAGGGTTAGGCATAAATGGTATGGTAAAGGACCCCATGTGAGCAGAGACTTCATAAGTGGGCTCATTGCTCTCACTCAAAAGACACTGGCCTTTACTCAAACCTTTGTGTCCCTCGGATGAAGGACACAAGGTTAGAAACACTCAGTGTTCTGAGCTTCTATAAAGGTGTCCCCAATAAGTATTTTCCTGTGACTACTCAGAAGCAGGCAATGCAAAGAGGTCTGTAATTCAATGTCACAGGCACCACACAGACCATTGACTTGGAGTCCCATCACCATTTTGTGGTGGTTGAACAGATTGTGTCCATTTAGGACTCCAACCAGGGCAATAAGAGCTTTCCAAAACCTAAGATTTGGGTCAGTTATCATTTCCTGGGCCTATCTACAGTCCTTCTGGTCCTTTGAAGTGGGCCTGACTGCCAGCTTTGTGTCCTGGTACCCATTTAACAGCAACATTGTTGTCTTTCCCCAGTTGGTTGACTGCTTCTGCACACTCTCAAGCCAGTAATGATGTAAAGTGTGGCCCTTGGAGAGCTTTAATAGCAGTTTGGCTATCTGTTAGGATGAATATTTCTTTCTCTGCACAATGAAGGTCTTTGAGAGTCACCACTGTCTATATCTCAACTTGAGATACAGCTGCTAAACAACTTAGTGGGTATCTATGCTCTCTCTCACTATGGTTGCAAAATCAGCACCCCTGCACCTACTGACCCCTTCAGAGGGGATCCATATGTAAAACAGTAGAAATAATTAGAAGNGTCCAGGGACAGCCAGCGGATGTTCTCCAGTTTGACAGGAGAGCTGCTAACTGTACAGATTTAAAACCATAAAATTATCTCTGAACTTTAACTTTTTCTGTCTGACTCAGAACATCACTGTCTTTGGAATAAGATGTTGGTTTGTTTTTATGTGGCATTTGTTCCTTTTTCCTTGTGTAAACTTTGAAACTCCTTCAGTTTAATCCCCGAGTAATGTTTGCATTAAAGCTTTAATGTTGTCAACAAAAGATCTGATTTCAGACAAAGTCAAGCTTCTGCTCCCGGTTGTGTCAGGGTTTTCACTGAAGTGGTTTTCTGGAATGAAGACAGCCCCCATGTTGCTGCAGACGTTTCAGTGTAATTTACCCAACATGAACTCGATAAATAGATAACATGTCTGATGTCAGAGAGAGAAAAGGTGTCAAAAGTTCTTTTAATCTGAAACTGTTGCTCAACAAGAAGGTTCTGCTCTGAACATGTAGAAGTCATCATGATGATGAGAACAGGCAGCTGTATGAGAAGACTCATCAGAACTGTAAAGTCAGCTGTATGAGAAGATTCATCAGTACTGTAGAGACAGCGCTATGAGAAGACTCATCAGTACGTAGAGTCAGCTTTATGAGAAAACTCATCAGTACTGTAGAGACAACTCTATGAGAAGACTTTCAGTACTGTAGAGACAGCTCTATTAGAAGACTCATCAGTACTGTAGAGACAGCTCTATGAGAAGACTCATCAGTACTGTAGAGACAGCTCTATTAGAAAACTCTTCAGTACTGTAGAGACAGCTCTATTAGAAGACTCATCAGTCGTATAGAGACAGCTCTATGAGAAGACTCATCAGTACTGTAGAGACAGCTCTATGAGAAGACTCATCAGTACTGTAGAGACAGCTCTATTAGAAGACTCATCAGTACTGTAGAGACAGTTCTATGAGAAGACTCATCAGTACGTAGAGTCAGCTTTATGAGAAAACTCATCAGTACTGTAGAGACAGCTCTATTAGAAAACTCTTCAGTACTGTAGAGACAGCTCTATTAGAAGACTCATCAGTAGTATAGAGACAGCTCTATGAGAAGACTCATCAGTAGTATAGAGACAGCTCTATGAGAAGACTCATCAGTAGTATAGAGACAGCTCTATGAGAAGACTCATCAGTAC